AACTAAATGATCTAAAGATTAAAAAGAGATGTCCTATAATATTATATTATGAGAAATAATATATATATATATATATATATATATATAGCATTGTCTATGATCCAATACAATATGACCAAACCAAATATGTGAAGATGGAAAAAGATTTCACCAAAAAGCTCAAAAGTCGGATGATTTATCCTTTTTTATATTCCTTCAGGAAATCAACTTGCTAATATATTCACTAAAAATCTTCACAATATTGCATTTAAAAACTATTTTGAACAAATTTTGAAAAGTAGAGATCTAATATCCCATTTGAAAGGGAGGGTTGGAGAACACCATCTGTAGCCAAGATAATAAAAGGCAGCACACAACTTTAGAAACTAGTTTAAGAAAAAAAATTATAGATAATTGCATGCAAGTGATGATTATGAAGCCATGATTGGTGGTCAAACTAGTTGTAATTGGTGGACAACATGGTAAAGAGAAGGCCCACAAATACATGGGAAAAGGCAAGAATAGGCAAACAGGAAAAAATGTTCATCTAAACCACACGGATTAAATTTGATTTAGAAAACATTTTATATTGTAATTAGTAAGTCTTTGTAAGTATGTATAGAAAATTCTATCTATGGGTAAACTTTGAATGATGATAATAAAATCAAACTTCTATCATTCACCTATTTTCTACAAAATACATTTTTTTTAAAACTTGTGTTTTTTGTTATTTAAAAAACCGTTGATTTTATAATAGGCTTATATGGTCCATGAATAAGAATCCTTTAAAATATATAAAACCATGGAATAAAATTCAGATAACAGCAAGATATGCATCACAGACCATGAAAGAAAAAAGAGATAAAGTAAGAGTTTCTTACACTCCAGATCTCCATGAAAGAACCATGTTCTTGTAGCAGGCAATCTCAAACCGCATGCCATGTTTCTTAAGGCGGACGATGGCAACGTTCGTCAGCCTCTTCTGCCCAACGGGCTGAACCAAGGTCCTCGACATTTCCCTTACGTGCTGTTTGGTAGCAGGATTTGAGCAGGATTTAACCTAATTTTAACCTAAATACTGTCAAACGGCAAACAAGACAACTTTAATCCTACAGGATATTAAATCCCGTTTTGCGTCCGCTTGCCTTATATCTCGTAGGAAGGTGGATTCATGAAAGTTGGAGGGGCTGAAGCGCGCGAAGAGTGCAGAAGAGGAAGGAAGTGACAGACGAGGGTTACCAGGCGCGGAGTGTAAAGAAAATCTCGTTGCTCGTAAAAATAAAAAATTGTTTTTCTTTTTTTCTTTTTTTAATGCTGTAACCGGTCGGAGGGAAAAAATTTGCATTCCCAATACCGCATACATAATAGATATTATATGGGCTCGGTATTATATTCATATTATATCTCTTGTAACCTCCATATAACTTTCATGTAACCTACAGATATATGAAAACAGAAGTGCAGAACTTATTTTTAAGTTTAGATAGGTTACAAATAAGTTATATGGAGATTATATGGAGGTTACAAGGGATATAACGTGAATATAATGCTGATATAACGCTCATATAACCTCCATTATGTACCAGCGCTGCCTACGTTTTACATACGCAAATTTTTCTCCGATCCAAGCCAAGTGCGGGTGCACGAAAATATTTTTTTTGTCACGTGAATCAGCCCAAATCAGCCCATGGCTTCGAAAACAAATCCTTCTCTATGAAAAAATATTTTGTCAAAACACTTCTGCGAGCCTCTTAAATCACTATTTTCTTCATTCGTCATTAGTTAGGGTTCTGCATTGCGTGACTCCAATAGTTATAGTTTTGTTCGTTTGAAATCATTTGTGTTGTAGTTCACCCGTTGACATATATTTGAAGTCCTGCTTTATTGACATGTAAGTATTAAAATATTTAAGTTTTTTTTCGAAACAAGCATTGCGCAAGGATTTAAAGCTTTTAAGTACGAACTCATGTAGTTGTTCTGATCTTTTGAAATAACCTAAAATACAACAATGAAATAATACAATAAAACCAAAGAACCTTAGAGTCATCAAGTCATCCAGGTAAATTTGATTTTTGTTGTGTTTGCATTCTAAAGTTTAGACTAACCGAAAAAAGCATTGCATCATATAATATTTTCATGCATTGCTAATATGAAGCATTGTAACACCACATTTATTTGACAGCAACGCCCCATTTGTTTGACAATAACACCACACTGATACAAAAATATCACCATAATAATTCCATGATAACACCGTAAGGACACCAATATGACACCGAAATATTATCAAAATAACACAAAAAATACACCATAATAATGTGGTTGTGTTATTGAAAAGGGAGTGCAGACATATTGTTTTTTTATTGTGGATTCTCTGGTGTTATTTATGAGTTATTTTGGTTTTATGCTGGTGTTATTTTGTGTTATTTTGGAGTTATTTTTTGTGTTATTATTATATTATTTATGTGTTATTTTTTTGGTTCATATGGTGTTATTTATATGATTTTGTGTTTATTTTGGTGTTTTTCTTGGGTTATTTTGGTCTTAATCTTATGTTTTTCTTATTCGTGTGTTTATGGTCTTATTGAGGTGTTATTCTTTTATTATTGGAGTTGTAATGTTTGTCGTTATTTCTTGGGAATGTGGTTGTTTCATAATGTTATTGTAATGTTATTTGGTGTTAATGTGATTTTATTTAGGTGTTATTCTTGCATTATTGTGGTATATTTTAGATGTTATTTTCATATTATTGTAATATTTTTGTGGTTTTTTGAGGTTCTTTTCTCATATTATTGGAGTTGTAATGTTTATGTTTTATTGGGGGAAATTTAGTTTTGTTGTGGTTTCAATTGTAATGTTAATGTAGTGTTTATGTAGTGTTATTTAGGTGTAAAATGAGGTGTAATGTTGATTCTAATGTTATTGAGGTGGAATTGTGGTGTTATTTTGAGTTTTATTTACGTGTTATCGGAGCTTAATATTTTGAATTTGTTGATGTGTTTTTGGAGTGTTATCGACACATTTATTGTGGTGTAATTCTAATTAAATTTTGGTGTTATTGTGGTGTTAGTTATTTTTTAAGTTGTAACATTTCAGTTTACATTAGGTGGGATTGTGATGTTATAGAGATGTTATTCTGGTATTATTTTAGCATTATTGTGGTGTTATTATGACATTATTGAGGTGTTATTTAGGTACAATTCTATTGGAATTCTGTTATTGTGATATTTTGTTTTGGGTTCAGGTTTTTAATGTACTGGAGTGATATTATTATGCAAAGTTTTATATAACAAATTGTATTGGTTTGCATTATCTTCTTTTGTAGGATTTTAAACCCAAGAATGTCCACTTGTAGATGTTGTCCATCTGTAGTAAGCGATGCTCTTAATATAATTAGACATATCCTATATGAGGAGACCAAGAATAATTTGAAAGTATTGAATGTGCTTCAATTTTGTGATCAACTCGGAATGTCGGAACGTTTTGTGGGAGGCAACCCATATTTATCGTTATTTATTTTGCTTTTACGTTTTTGTTCGAATTATTAATATATTCATATTTTTATGGATTTTGTGTATTTGAGAAACTTGAAATTGAGAAAATATTTAAAAATATCTTTTTTTACATAATTTTATGGAAGATTTGAGAATTTATTGGATTGAAGTCGAAATGACGAAAATTTTGGAACGACAACTTAGGCGCTGAGGTGACGAAAATGACTTAAAATGTTTCAAAAGACAGTTTTTGGCGTGTTCTTCTCCTTATAACTCCCAAAAACTCATTCCAAAGCAATTTTAAGGGGGAAAATGAGGGAAGATTCGCTACTTTTTAATTCTGACGAGGGAAGAGTCACTACTTTTCAATTCCAATGGTTTCCCACTCTAAAAATTCCGCGAGATTTGGAATTTTCAATTGGAGAAAGTTCGTTAATTTCAATGCGCAGAAGTTCCAGAGCACTCACTGCTCCCTCACATGAAGGCTGACAATCTTACATTAGTTTCCAAATAATTGGACCAAATTGGAGATTTTAATCTGTTGCCTTAAAATCTCCAATTCTACATTCAACAAAGTATATTTCTCTATTTATTTGCACTTAACTCCATGGATGACATCCTCTCCCATGGAATCAAATGTGATTCTCACTATGTTGTAGAAGTTATAGTCATTTCGGAATATATGTTTCTCAACACATTTCAACATTTCAATTGGTCAGATCGAGAAGTAAATAAAGATCACAGTTTGGATAATCACAAATTATTGATATTTAAAACCGTAGAAAATAAAATCAATTCTTCACAAAATCATATCTCAAAGTAGGGAGAATGATAAAAAAGACGAATGATAAAAAAGGATAAAAAAGACTACTCAGAATTCATGAGAAAGAAATAACAAAACACAGATTTCATATATAAAAACATGTTTACAAAAACATAGAAATAAAAGATATAACTTATCTCACATTCCTTCTCAAGCAAATCTCTAGAATTTCTCTTTAAGCACTTTCTCTCTTTACAAGCACTCTCAGTTCTCTCTCAGAAGTGTAATGAATAAAAAATCTCTCACCCCCCTCTCTTATTACAATCCTTAAAGAAAATCTCCAAACACTTGACTTTCTCTCTCTCTCTCTCGCTTACGCGTCTTTCTTCTTCCTCTCTTCGGCCCTCCTCTTCAAAAAGAATTCAAAATTCCCTCCAAAATTCTATCTAAAAGTCAACCTTTTGAATTCCAAAAGATATGTCTATATGTTTAAGAGACATATCCCTTCATAAAAGAACCTTTCAAAGAATCTAGATGCATTGAACCACTCCATGGGGTGTTTAAAATAAGTGGCCCCACACAAAATTTGTCCCGAACCTCCTTAATTCACATAAAGTCATCTCAGGCGTTGATTATGGCGCTTTAGGGGCCAAATTACTTAAGATCGTGTTGTTTTGGGTTTTAATGCTTCAGGCGCCAAATCTGGCGCTTCAGGCTCCAGTTCTCTGGAAAATGGCGCTTCAGGGGCTAGCTCTCTGTATAATGGCGCTTCAGACATCAAAATCTCAAAATTCGTTGTTTTTGTTCCAAATTTCGTTATTCTTGCTACTTTTGCTCCAAATGCCTAAATCTAATATATCTGCAGCAAAAATATGGAAATATCATTTCTTAAAGTGCAATATCACCCAAAATAAGCATTAAATATATACTTAAAACAACACATTATTTTGTGTATCAGAGGCCGATCAAACCAATTAATCTAGTTGATCAGAGCTTGATGGTTAATCGAACCAATACAATCATACAATCAAGTTGACATGTGTAAGTGTCATGAAAAAACATAAGAAAATAAAACCATGTGCATTTGATAGCAAATTGGACTTCTCTTAACGGCCTCGCATATGATCTAGTGTTTGACAAATTTATAGTTACCCCCCATTATGCAACATAGCAATGAGCTTACCTCTAATTATCCGATGAAATATGAAGGGACTTTCCCACGAGAAAGAAAACATTCACAAAAGTGAAGCTTCTCTCACGAGCGCATGCTTCGTGTTCTAGGGAATGAGAAATAAAGGGTTTTCTCATTCTCTAGATCGAAGTGGCTTCAAATCATTCATCAAGAGATGAAGCCGCCGAGATAATCACAGGGTTGCTAGTCTCCCAAATGATTAGGTTTTTGCGTCAAGTCTTAGAACGAGAATTGATAAATTGTTAATAATCTAAGGAACTTTTCTCTAACACACAACCTATGTCCTTAAATCTCTAACATCCAACTTAAAGGGATATGGTAAAGAGAAAACATTGAGTTGTAGAAACTTCCACCTTCATGTCATTTGTAGATGTGTTCTCTTTGCTTGCTCCTTGCTCCTACCTTGTTTGGATGAAGCTCTCCTCCTCCAAAGGAGATTTGATGCTCTTCCTCCGCTAAGCGGGATGAAGCTCTCTTTTTCCACAAGGAGATGGAGCTTTTCCTTGAAGAAGCCTCTTCAAGTCTTCCCTCACACTCTCCTTTAAGGATTGGTGCTGGAAATGAAGAAAATTTTGAAGAAATTTTGAACAAGAAGAAGAAGAAGGGAAGAAAATCTCTTTCTCTAGAACTCTCCACCAAGCTCTTCTCCTCTTCAAGAAACCTTCTTGATAATTTTTAGCTCCCTTTAGCAAATGAGACCTCTTTACCTTTCAAAATGATAGCTTGGATGTAAAGGGAATGGAGGGAAAGGCATTTCAAACAGTTCAAGCTCTTTAACCCAAGCTTCACCCAAAATGAACTCTCCATAA